TACACGCTAAGTTGGAGGAGATCGGTTTCACTAGGTGCGTTACCGACATGTGCTTGTACTACAAGAAGCACGGCAGCGACATGACTCTGGTAGGAGTGTATGTGGATGACCTTCTAGTGACGGCCTCCAAACCAGAGCTAGTCGAAAGATTTTTTTCAAGCGATGAGTGTTTTATCCATTAAGGATCTCGGTGTGGTACGAAAGTTCTTGGGCATGCGTGTAGAGCTTCATGAATCGGACGGTTACTCGTTGGATCAGCAAGCTGCGATTGAAGAGCTACTGGAGCAGTACGGGCTCGCGGACGCAAACGGAGTACGCGCACCAATCGGAGAAGAATGGAACGAAGCCGAACAAGGAGCACCGCAGCTGTTGATGCAGTCAGGAGGGCGTGGAGAGCCAACAGTACGAAGTTTCCAGTCTCTCGTCGGCAGCCTACTATGGATAGCTCGCTGTACGAGACCAGACATTAGCTTTGCGGTCCACAAGGCCACGAGACGCACCCATCAGCCTACCGTAAACGACTGGAAGCTCGCGTAGCGGATCGCTAGGTACTTGAAGCAGACAAAGGAACGAAAGCTCAAAATGCGAGTAGACGCAGCCCGTGGAAGACGGATCTGTCTGGAAAGCTGGAGTGATGCGGATTTCGCGGCGGATAAGGCCGACAGGAAGTCGGTGACCGGCGGAGTGATCACTCTCGACGGGGCCATCGTGCAGTGGATATGTAAAAAACAGACTGGTATCCACGATGGAAGCAGAATTTACGTCTGCATCAAATGTCGGACGTGAGCTGCTTGGACTGCGAGAGCTCGTTAGGGAGCTGGAGTTTGCGGTGGTAGAGCCAATGACCATGTATATGGCCAACCAGGCCGCCATCAGGCAGCTAGAGACCGAAGACAGTATGTCCAGTGCAAAGCACGTAGACATCCGAGTCAAGTTCATCTGCGATTTTGCACGGCGAGGTGTGATCAAACCAGGATATGTGGAGTCACGACTAATGAAGGCCGACCTTCTCACGAAGGCGCTTTCGGCAGCCAGATTGGACGAGCTTCGGAGGATTTTCATGTTGGAGTAGTAGCTGGCGAGCGCGACGAGCGAGGAGGAGTTTTAGAAGAAGATCTGTAACCGAGTGTAACCACGGTTACGGTATAGTGGCATTTCGCCCGCCCGCTCTCCGGATGGGACTACTGCTGAATAAGGTGTGAGGATGAATGGCCAGAGGAAGAAGCAAGGTACGAGTAGAACGTAGTTAGCTTCCTCTCACTTCTCAATATACGACGGGTTCCTCACATCTACTAATAGTAACTTAGTTATGCTTCCTTATCAACATGAATTACTATAAGGTCAAAGTTGAACAATCACCATCGGCATTAGCATTTTTCATGAGGTCATCCGTAAGACGAGATTAGATTTCTAGATTGTTGATTAGCAAGCTGTGGTCGAATTTCGGTAAGACGAGCTCATAAAACCATGATCTTCGATAATTCACGCGATTATCCACAGCTTCAACGCGAGAAGTATAATCTGTTTTGTCGTTTATTCTGACTAAGCTTCATAACTACTGCCGTTTTACTTGGATGACAAGTGGCGGGTGTGTATCTCGAATAACCGAAGCTGTTCCGTGCGAGCGCACGGCTTTGATTGCTGCTTTTTGTTGTTGATCCAATTAACCCACCATAGCAACACGGTTATCAATAGTGCTCGCACAAACGCACCGGTTTGCTGTGTTGTTTCTTAAGAGCAGCGACCAGTTAGATGGGTTCATCTTCAATCCTGCTCTCATATCTGCAGAACTTACGTGCTTTGCAGGTAAGGACTGGTTTGCATAGGCCATTATCGCTACTACCTGGATCTAGTGTGCTGCTAATATAGTTATGATAAATAGATTGATCGTCAATCTCGAGAGCTTTTAGACGTAAATGCATGCTGCCTCAACGAGGGCTTCATCACTTATAACTTAGTATACCTCTCGTGTGTGGGCGTGTTTTCGACTGAGTAACAATCGCGCTATATTGCTGTGGGCACTTATCTGTTACCTGAAAATGTTGCAAAACGATGCATTATGTCACGTTTCCCCAAAGTATCTCAAAATTAATACCAATGATATTTCTTTAAAAAAAGGGCTCGGAAGTAGACCTTAAACGTGGCATTAAGCATCGTTTTTACAAAATTATCTTGATAAAAGTATGTAGTATTTACAATTAAAAATGTATGGGGAACGAAAGGGCTAAGAACTTGCAGCTCTAATTGCTAAAAATATTTGAACTGATAACGAAATGCTATTTTTTTAAACTAACACAAAAGTCAACTGTTCTCCCAATATAAAGCCTATACAACGTTATCGCCTTTCTTCTATGTAGTAAACCGAAAAGGTTCTTAACTTTCAAAAATTATTGCAGCCGTGGCAAACCAAACCAGTATAATAATATTCTCTTACTGTAGGCATCATTTCTTAGCTTTATGGAAATGAGTTATTGAGGGTATTAAGGAAACCGATATAAAGCGTCAAATTAGCGGACAATAAAAATTTATTATAAGCGCCAAAAACTTTAAGACGTTATTTTTCTCAATATTAAATCCGATCCCAATTCAAAAGTACATGTAGCGATAAACGATCTATTATCGCCAGTGCTGTAATCTGCAATTTGTGCAGTCCCCTATTCGCTTGTTGCGGTACCGCTTAACAAAATGGCTACCATTCAGGTCCCGTTTGCCGAAAGGTCGTCAAAATGCGCGACGATTGAATGAAATCTGATAAGGCGATGTACGGATTGGCAGAAATACACGGAGAAACCTGCAGACAACCGCAACCAGAAACTGGAGAAGTGCACTTTCTGCAAAGGAGTGCTGGTCGCTTCAACTTCCACGCGCATTTGAGCCCAACGATGCAGCACTTTATCTGGAGGCACATACATGCATAGCTGTACGATACAGTATTAATAAGCTGGGAAGAGCTGACGATCTACTCATGTGAACAGTCATCCTTACAGTTTAAGTACTGCTTGTATTGAATCGTGTACCAACGACACCTTCATCGCAGTAGATTGTATTGTCGGCAACCAGAGTACTGGTAGCAAGTTTGTTCTTCTACAATGGCAAAGGCGGCAGGACGCTACATGCTCCAGCCGCATACCCATCCAAAACAGATTTCCCACTACCGATACTGAGCTGAGGAAGATTTCAACGTCATCGGCTTCAGCACCAGCGGATTCAACACATCCTCGCTTGGCACTATAATACCAAGTTGGCACTCGTTAACCAATAAAAGTCGCCGCCCAGCTTTATCACGTCCTCTATATTTCTCCTCGCAGGCAGCATTCTCCAGTGTCGCCACGTGTTTGCCACTATTCCACTCTGCAGTATTCATTCGCGTTTGTGCCTGGACTTTATCTGACGCTGAGTGCCTCGGAGCTGATGCAACCGTCGTCCACGCGGCAGCAGCCATTCAACCAGCGCGATGTAGACAGCAAAAAGCAGCAGCACAGCACCGCCCAGCACGGAGAACCCGCCCAGATGCTCGATCGTCTCAGCAAAGGAGACGTCCATATCCTCATCATCCTGCTGCGCGGTGACTGCTGCAACGGATAGCGTCGACAGGGATGCCCTCGATGGGATATCCATCGTTGAAACTTGCCCCTGTTAAATTTGGCAATCGTATTTGGCAGGGGCGCATTTGAGTCTGGCTCCCCTGGCCCTCACCCTTCCCTACCTTTTCTCCTCCAATCAATTCTCTCCGAATGTGTCGCAATGATTAAATCGATTTGACGGTTCGTTTGTATGTTGCTCGAGCACAGCGTGTCGATACAGCGATTGGGGGCTTTCTCCTTTGCATTTGAATAACGCACGGCCCAAGCTCGAACCCGTGCGCGGCAACTCAACTCGAGCGGCAACTTGCAGAAGACCCAGCCTAGCGGTAACCTGCACCAGAGCGTAGCTTGCGCACGCCGACACCCCAGCGAACACAGCAGCTTTCCAGGTACGGCACAAATGATCATGAACATCGGGCAAATTGCTGTTGTTTTGCCACGTGGGATTGCCGCTCCCAGCCAGCTGGGACGAGCTTTTTTCATTGAGATTTCTCCAAATTGACATTCACTCCTGTTGCCACATCTTCCCCCTTTGCTTAACACCAACAGAGCCTCACATTTATATTTCCGCAACTAGTAGTACGAGTGCAGCAACAACAACGGCAAGTAGTCCCGAGTGAAAAGGTAAATTTCCAGCTAGTAGCACTAAAGGAAACGAGCAAGCTGCCTTTGCGTCTCAACTTGCCAGTGTGTCTCACCACCACTGACAGCGCAACTGTGTGCAACTACTCTCCTGCCCACGCAGAAGGCAAGGAGGACTTTGTGGTTGGTCGGAGAGCTGCTGTCTTCCTGTCCGCGCGTCAAAAGCCCAGCACGCGCATAAAAGGCAACAGTTGCTTGTTGCGCTGCTCAGAACCCGTAGCGCGATCTATTTGGCTCGAGGACGGCAACGAGGACAGAACTTGTCGCGGTATATTTAGGAGCATCTGGCTTGCTGGAGAAACGGCGATAGGGGAGAGAGAGTGAAAGAGACCAGTGTCTCAACGCTCCAGCCGGGCACAAAGCAACCAGCTCCAGTGACCAACGAGTAGGGGAAAACAGTGTATAGGTGACTGAAGCGGCATTCTTCGAGCAGACGCCCACAACCCGAGCTGACACAGAACCGCCGCGGGAAGGGGCAACTTGAGTGTTGAGGTAAGTCTGTCGTTTAACTGAAGGCGTCGAGATTTTTTTCGCGACGTGTGATAGAAGATGTTGCCTTCCGCAACTAACTTTCTCTTTCTCTTCGCTGCCACTTGTGCCCCATGTTGCAGGCTTCCGACCCTTTGTTCATCTACACGATGCCACGAGCACCATCTAAGGCAAGCTCTGTAGCTGTGAGTGGCCAGCAAGCAACTGCCGCATCACAGACGCAGCCATCGGCAACTCGTCTGCTGCAACTAAAAGAAGAAGCGGAAATGCAACAATTGCAACTGCAACAGCTCCAACATCAGCAACAATTTCAGTTGCACCAACAAGCGCAATTGCAACAGTTGCAACAGCAAGCTCAAATACAGAACCAGTCGCTTCAGTACACGCCAACAATGGGAACAGCGTCGGGCACTTTAGGCCAGAGCGCAACGGCAAACAACCTCGTGTCCGTAGCCGTGCAAGCTGCTGCCAATGCAGCCAACGCTGCAGCCACAGCGGGCGGCGCCACAGCTGGAGGTGGCTACGCTTTCCCTCGCAACTCGCCGGAATTTGCCTGCGAAAACGTCGGCGAACGAGTGAAAGGAAAGCGGAGAAAATATTGTCCACACGAAGTGACAGCGCTCGTGCTGGGCGTCCAGCGGTACGCAGACGACAGTTGTCCTTGGAGTTCCATCCTGCGAGACCCTCATCTCGGCCACTTGTTCCATGGCCGTAGCGGAGTGGACTTGAAGGACAAATGGCGGACACTCATCAAGACTCGACCGGAACTCGCAGCGTACACAGAGAACCGGAAGAACCACCGCAAGTATCGACCATTTTCTGCCACTGAAGAGCGAGCACTACTAGAAGGAGTCAAGAAGTACAACGGACAGAGAAATGTGTGGTCGCTTATTCTTATAGACAAGGAACTGGGCCCTCAGTTTAATGACCGATCGAACGTGCAACTTAAGGACAAATTCCGGACGATGCGGAGAGCAGGAGCCACGTCGTCGCTACTGATTAGTGGAGGTGCAGCGTCCAGTCAACGAGCGTCGACGGCCTCTACGCCGACTTCGGATAGTGCAACAAGCTCCGGAACGACTACTGCGACCACTTCGGCCACCTCCAGGACGCTGACGGCTGCAGTATCAGCAGCAGTCAATGGATCGAGCAGAGCACCATCGACTGTCACATCGGCGAGTCAACAAGCAGCCACGCTCTTGGTGCAGAACAGCAACGCTGCAACTGCCATGTTTGCAGACCCGAATTTGTATCTGGCTGGCTCGTTCTCGATCCCTCATATGTCTCAAGGGATGAGTATGCCACAAATGACTTCAACGCAGTCGCGACATTCAGCTCAAGCGCAGGCGCAAGCTCAGGCGCAGGCTCAAGCTCAAGCTCAGGCACACGCTCAGGCGCAAGCAATTGCCAACGCTCAAGCTCGCGCCGCTCAGGTGCAACTAGAAGCTCAGATACAAATGCGAGGCCAGCAACAAGCCAAGCAACAGTATCAGGCGTTGAATGGCGCGTTCAGTGCCGGAATTCCAGGCTACCAACTCGTAGGGAACCAGATTGTTCCTCAACAGGCTTTATACTACCCGATGGCACAGAATACGCAGTCTCAGCAACAAGCTCATTTGCAACAGCAACAATTGCAACAGATTCAGCAACGGCAACTCCAGCAGCAACAGCAACAACAGCAGCAACTCGCTGCCGCCATCGCTGCAGCAGCTAACAGTTCGCAGCAGTCTCAGCATCGTCACAAGTCGCAGGCAACGAGCGCGACTGCAACATCACGAGGTGCGTCAGATAGCGGTCGGGGAGGGAGGACGCAAGCTGACAAACGCAATGCTGCCAACAGTATAAGTGTGGGGAGAGCAGCGTCTTCTGTGGAAGATCTGTTGATGCAGACAGGTAGCACCAGTGCATCCACGCCGACGGGTAAGTTTGTTGCACGAGTTTTTTTGGGAGTTTTGTGTCATGAATTGCAAAACTTATCACTTTGTTGTGACATTTAGGTGCAGAACACAACACACGTACTATTTAGTGGAGAGGGCTCTTGGAGAGCACACTATAGTTTTTTGCCACGTCATTTAGCCGGCGAAACTTCAGTGCTATTACTGGAGAGATAGCGTTCGCCAAATATATTCGAGGACCGCAGCAAAGGGCGACGAGGGAGAGGTGCAAGTTGTTGATAATGTCGAGTCGTACCATAGCGAAAGAAACAGCATCACAAGAAGAAAAAGAGATATCAACAACAACAAACACCTTTGACTTTGCATGTATTTTTGCTTCGTGCGGCAACTGTATCCGGATACCCATTTTTTTCGTTTGACGTGTATGAGTGATGGTCTAGGTTCAACGTGGAAAACGAGTGATGGTCTCTAAAGTTGCCGTTGCTGCTTCAACGATTGCTTGTCATTACCCAAGTGGTCAGACTACATTCCTAGCATGAGCCTGAGCGTCTCGCACCATGCCAGCACAACGAAGACGGTAAATCATTCCTCTGTGGCTTCAATGCAGCTAACGGGATGGGTATATTGGCAGCGCGAGCCTGCACGAGCCGCAGACTGCTGGACCAAAGCGTTTGCTGTACTACATAACGCTTTTTTGTGGCTTTTCCAGCGAGAAGAATCGGTTCCTCATAATTTGCTGGTACAGCTTGCTGTCGCGGACGTTGAGCTTGCTGAAGATGGACAAATGCTGTGTGTGATCGACCCAAGCGGTGAACAGCTTCGTTTCTGCGTGAGAGAAAACGCTGCGTTCGAAAGTCGGAGCTCCAGGTTAAAGGATGCGGCCGACCTGACGGAAGCATTCTTCCAAGATTGGACGTACGCGATCTCCCGCGTTGAAGTAGCTACAGAGGTACACTAGAGGATAGCAATCGCATAACCAAGAGGACAAGGTGCATGGATGCGGTGGTTCAATTTGTGAGGCGATGGAGGATTCATGAGCTACGGAAAAATTCATGTACGACGCCCATCAAGAAGAGTAGACAACTCAATGTTTTCAAGGAGTAACAAACATGGGTAAGTAGACGTAGACGTGAACGACGCGCGTATGACTATCAGTGTAAATACGAAGTACGGTAATTTTGATCCTGAGCCACTGCTCCAGCGATGTGAAATCGGTCACTGCATTCCACGTCAAATTAGTCGAGGGGGGGGGTGATTGCTGGTTGGTTACGATATCTTTGGTAGTATCCACCATCGCAGCTTCGAGCCACTTCGAAACGAGCTCTTTTTGATCTACGCATGCGACTCGCCGAACCGTTTAAGCTGCAGCCGTGGTAGTCAGCTGACTTCTATTTCAATGCCGAACCGTGCAGTTTTGCCGTGTTCTGAGACACCAGAGTCATAATGGGCGAAGTGTAAAACGAATCGCGATAGTGTTGCAGCTGTCACCAAGCAATAGTAACAGTGACAAGCAGTCATGTTTTGGTCACGTCAATGCCGAAGGCTTTGAAAACTGCGTGTTCAAGGTTCAGTGCCGCCTACAAACTGTGGCGATCGCTGCATGCGAGGAGGTTTGATATAGCCACTACACTAGTGCTAAATGTTGTGTAGTGCGTTGCTTAGCAACTTACTGGCTGCAATCAGTGACGAAAGATCGAAGGGGTCCACGGTGGGCAGCCATGTAGCGACGGCTCCGTCGAATTGTCCCATGATCGCTGTAGATCTCCACTTACCTGCGTCACTAGCCGTCGGAGGTGAAGGCGATTGGCAAAGGCGTAGGCTAATGGCGTCCGACTTGCAAAGTTGAAGGCTCCAACCAAGTCGGATAGCGCAAGAGCAGCTCGATCTTGAGACCAACACGTTTCCTACCGCGCAAATCTCACGCCAAAGTCTCCGACGGTGTGAATCAAGCACGCACATGGGCATCGGAGACGTAAAGCATTCTTGATATATGTTTGGCGTTTCAGTCAACACGAGCGACCTGCATCTATGGGATTGCAAACTCCGTGGAGTTGCAGGCAAACCATTTTTGTGTCGACAATCTCCGGAAACACATTTCTATTTTCAATTTCCGTGCGATGATTAGCTGGCATAAATAGAATTTTAAACTATGGACCAATCACCACGCGTCTAAGTGGACATGACGCCGTTATCAGATCCGATTATCACAGCAGCCAGGCTATCGCCGGCGCTTTGGCTCAAAGTTTGAGCTGTCCCACACGCGCCACCCTCCTCAGCCACGTTGGCAGCCCAACCATTTGGTGTGGCCATTCCCCAATTGACCCATTCGGGCGCAAGCGGCAAGTTGCAAGTTGCCATGGCGTTCCCCACTCTCAGTCGGCGCCATGTGGCAACACCGATCAACCGCTGCAAGCGAAGATCGCACCGTTATCAAAGCCACCGCAACTGCAACACACCAAAAGTATCTTCACCTCTAAAATGCGAGCGCAGCGAGTCCCTGCGGTCCACGTGGATGACCAGTGGCAGCGACTCCATGGAGGAAGATCCAGACGTCAGCCAAGAGACTGACGCCGATTCTGAAGCGCTCCAGGTGTTCGTACAATTACAACGGCCACTTAGTGACTGGGTCTACTGGCAACGGGACGCCGTGGCACTCCCGGACTGCTGGACGAAAGTTTTTGCCGTATTTTGTGGCAACATCCTATGGCTCTATCGCTACGAGGACGCGTCGGCTAAGAGTCTACTTGTGCGAATGCGTGTCACGGCACTGGACGACGGCAACGACGGCCGCCAACTACTATTCCGTGACGCTACAACAGCAACCAGCGTGCAGCTCTACATGCCAGATGCCTCGGCCTTCTCTCGCTGGCATAGTCACGTATCCACCGAAATAGCCAAATTTCCTTCGGGAGAGGAAGAGGAAGAGAGCGCGAGACAAAGCGCGGAAATGGTGCCTGCAGTTGCGTCAGCCATGAAGAAAAAGCGCTTCTGGAAGGCTTTGGCCGCAGCCATAATTGCAGGTACTACGACCTCGAGTTGTGGTCATGGCGCTGGCAATGAAGAGAGCGCGATGGTCGCATACGACAATCAGAATAGGAAGAAGCTGGGTCAGCGCTGGAAGAACGTCACGACAACGCTCAAGGGCGTATTAAAGCGCGACAATCGACACCTACAGCTGCAGCTGCGAGAAGGAAGAGACAATGCCTGATGCGACGAAGAGTCCAGGGTGCGGACAGAATGAATGCCGCTATGTGTTTCATGGATCTAAGTGCTGTACGAATAATTTAACGTTAAAAAAAATAATCTCACTCTTGAAGTAACGGTAGATTCTGTTGCTGGATTGGACATGATGCCATTTGGCAAAAGAAACCAATAATGTATGCAACTGCAAACGAAACACTGAGGCTCTGCCACAACAAGTCGAGTGTTTTGCCAAGGACACAAAAATGATTCTGCAAAGCAATTTGTGACATTAGCGACGGTGCAGCGAAAGCTGGAGTCGTTTTCGCCGATAAACTCCTGACAGTCTGGACCTTTAATACCAGTGCCACCGGGGCTGTCAGTCCTGCAACTTAGCATTCCTTTTGCACCATCTCAAGCGTGTCGTCCCAAATATGGGATTTATGGGGATATATACCTCTGGACTCCCCAACGAAGTTCCTTCACGCTGATTGGCTAACAAATTCATGACTCGGTGAGGTCATTTACAGTCAAGCAGGTGCTGCACTATGAGGATCTCGCACCTCGTCGGGATGCAGCGCGCCATCACGTGGTGAGTCTGTAAAGTTCACGAGCTAGTGAAGATGCCGAAGAGGTGGTGAAAACTAAAATGCTTTTGCTTGCACGCTACAGGTAAACTGATGCAAAACGAAATCTCGCGAGGTATGAAGCATAACTAAAGCGTGTAAGTTGTCATTTAGATTCTGCTAGCCACTCGGAGTGATCTTGCTAACTACTCGTGATAGATGCGTGCTAGAATTAAAGTTTCTTCAGCTTCCTGTGTTGGATGAACAGCGCCGCAGCTGACTAACGGTGGAATCCCAAGCACATACACGCCCGGGGAGATGGAGTCTTCTCCCTCTTCTTCTTGCCCGGTGTACGTGCAAGTAGTTATATTGTGCCCATCTAGCCCACACCGACTGCAATGATATGTGGGCCGCTGCTGTGGCAGTGTTGCAGATGGCTGAGACTTGAAAAACGCCTGTATAAAAGGCGTGTCGTCATGCTCGTTTAATTGAGACGGTCGCATCTCGTTCGGTGTATCCAGCTTTGCTTTAGATCGAGATGGACCAGACTCCTCGCCCCTGCTACGGATCCGTTTTTCGCCATGCTGAATGTCTGCATTCCGCTTTTTGCGGGCCCCTCCAGCTTGACGATAAATTGGAGCTGGGAGAACAGTAGGTCCTGCCCTTAAAATATTGTCGACTGGTAAGTTGATGTCCATCTCGGCTAGAGCTGCGTGGATTGTTCTAGCCAAATATGCCTGATGAAAATATTCGTAGGTGCGATATAAAGGCACTGCCCCAGAGTTTTGCCGCTCTAATTCGATCAAGACAGCTTGTACGTGACGGCAGGGTATGTGAAGCTGCTCTCACACTCTGCACGACTCGCACTTACCTGAGCTCATATCTACTTTGTACATCTTTGTTGCAGATGCTACGTCTGATCGATCAAATGGGTTGAAGACGTAAAACTCCGACAGCTTCGCGTGAACGACGGCGAGTTCTGTGACGAGTTTCTCTTCCTTATTAAAAAGTGTCATCGCATGAGGTGTTAGACCGTGATTTGATTTGATCCATTTTTTTGCTATTGCAAACAGTTTGTTGCGGGTATCGAGAGCGCGCAAGCAGTATGCACGCAGTGTCCGAAACACCAGATTATTACGAGTGCGATTCCATAACAGTCCGTTGTTGTCGCCTTCCACGCCGGTAGTAGACCGAACGCCAAACAACGGTGTAGCGGTGCCATATACAGGTGCGTTTGTCCAGTTTTGTTCTAGCCAATTGAGTTCATCAGCACTCAATGTACTATTACCAATTACAGTCCAATTGATCGGATGTATGCTACGCAGGTACGACCAAACATGCTACTCTTTCCGTTGCCCGCCTGAACCACTAACAGCACCGGTAGGAAATGCTTTTTCTATGGCAGCAACGTTTTGCTCGAATGCTCGAACAGTGGTGGACTTTTGCAATTGCGTGATGAGTTTGTTGACACTGTCTTTAGTAACCTGCACAGATTTAAACTTGTCGACAGTATTGAAGCGGATATGACCGCGCAGAACTTTAGATTTACCCGCAGACCGACGCGAGCCAGAACAGCTTGTGCAGACAGTTGCTTACGTCGATCTACGAACGTAGGTCGATCATGCATAGCGATTCCAGCAGCAATACAGTTTGAGAAAAACCAGACGAGGTTGTCAATGGTTTCTTTGTGAATAAAAGCAACTGCTACTGAAATAATCTTCTTGTTACCGTCTTTGCCAACTAAGGTAACACAAATTCCATTGTAGCGGGGGTGCTTGATGTGAGTGTCATCGCACTCCCAAACAGGAAGTAGTGAATCTTGAATACGAACCACAGAGCCAATGCAAAAAAAGCTGCGAAAAAATCTACCAAAACTATCTAATTGGCAGCACACTCTCGATCCTGGATTTTGGGACGCGAACAATTCCATGTAAGCTGGTAGCGCTTGGAATTCATTAATATAATCACTCTCCATGTTCTTCAATGCGTCACTAATTACACGATGTAGCACGGAATGTTTCCTAGATACGTCCACACCTTCCACCTGCTTCAAATGATTAATAATTCGCGCTTTGGAGGTATTGTGACCCTCAACAATGCCAGCACGGAAAGCAGGCATGCGGGCAATTTGGTCTCCAGTCGGGTTGGCGGTACTGGAGCAGCACTGCATGTGGGTCAAATCCATCTTCGAAATATACCAGCTATTGTCCGGGACGTGCCTCAGCGAAGTCTCAGGTCTCTTACGGGTACTCTTTGGGTCCTTCCTAATGCGTTTGCGTGCGAGCGATACAAACCACTTACATTCTAGTGCCGTGCACGCCCATCGCTTGTAGTTGCCTTTGTTTTTCGCGAGGCGTACACTCTTGTTGGAATTAGATGCAAAAGCAGATACAAATTTCCCACCCACATCTGCAGACGGAAAAATGGCATGTAGAGCAACCTCCAAATGCCCATAATCACCGACTAAGTCAATTGGCATGCCGGCAGCTTGTTGTCAGGGAACGTCTTTGCTCGACTGCTTTCTTGCCCGAGTAGCACCTTCGTTCCACCCTAAAAATAAAAGTGAAACCTATGGAAATCTAGCCAATCAGCGTGAAGGAACTTCGTTGGGGCGTCTGGGCTTCTTCGTTGGGGAGTCCAGAGGTATATATCCGATTTATGGTGGCGGTGGGCTTGAGTGGTGAAGGAGTGTTTTGCCGGAGATAACTCGGAGGAAACTGCATCGCAGACGAGTCAATGATACAGGCTAGTTGTGGCGTTCTGGTTAAGACCGGCACTTAGTAGCGAACACCTTTACTTGTCCTTCAGATTAGTATTCGTTTTAATCGTGATGGAGGTAAAATTGAAGTCGCACCCCACATATAGCGTGTCCAGAACCGGTGGCTACCTTACTGGTATCCTGGAAGGCAGCGGTCGCCGAGTCCAATACTTGGAGATGCTCGTGGAATCTCCTACCACCTGTAGCGTCAGCGTCAACTCCACCGGGTCGACATCAATGCTGTTCAACTGCAATTACTCACAGCGGCTGCCCCGACCGGCGCGGTTCCTACCCATGCAAGGCTCGTGCCACATTTTGTGAGAGCCCCAGTAGCGCTGTAAATTCACGCACGCTAAAATTACAATGATTGATTTTTTTTAGTCATTTATGCTACAAGACTTTACTGTAGTATTCATATTGCCTTCCTGGAAAACTACCAAAGGGCAATGACCCCATTGAACGTCAGGGACTGCGATAGAAACGAATACTGGCTCCAGTAATAACGCCTTAAAGACCGCGCAACTGTCGAATGTTGTGAAAAGGGATACCAAAAAGTCTATTATAGCACTGCTAACGTGTAAATTCTACTGCCTACTGTATGACTCAAGCTGCCTGCCAAAGGGTGTCGAATAATTCAAGATGAGGGTTTGAAGATACTCCTTTAAACAATTGCGTACTTAACGTTGTTTTTAGGACTACGCTATGGGCCGTTTTTACTTATTACGTCGAAGTACCGTACACTGTACGACCTGCACACACACTTTACCAGTACATGTACATGCCCGTAATTGGTGATGTCATTTACTGTAAATTTGACACCAATTTAATGTCATCGCCATATTCTTTGGAGAGACTATTACGAACTGCAACAATATCAAAGCCGCGTTATTAGCGTTGGTACGTTCGTGTTCGCCCGAACACGCAGCATTGTTACGCCTCATTGACTCAGCTTTTACTCTCAAAATAACTGTTCGCTACTGTGTGTTGTTCGTCGACTTTTTTTGTCGCATTACGAAGTGGCCTATTTAATACTTTCCTTTTGGTCTGCGATGGATCAGCTAAAATTCACCAGTACCAGGCATCGCGCCTCATGGATACAAGGCTTTTAATGAAAAAGAAAACATGTAAATTAAACATATTAGATGGCCACCTTTCATGGTGAACATTTCATCATCTTCAGCCCCCGAACAGTGAGCAAGGAAGGTGCACGCAGCGTGCCACGCACACAGCGCTTCCACGATACCGATAGACCGCCAACTGGGCAACAGTAAGACTATAGCCTTTAGATACGCATGGGGTTTTCGTCCCGATCAATGAGTAGCATAAATACTTGGTTTGCTTCGCTTCCCTACAGATGGATCTACATTGCCGCAAAAAATGTCTTCTGATGAATCAGCGGACCACCCCAGTGCCTATTTACGAATGTCATAGTGAAAACGACGAGGCAGAAACAACCTATTGCTGGCCAGATATCTGTGTAGTGCAGAAATCTGGGTACTGGTATTCTCAAGTTGATAGCTTGCATTACATTAATCCACAAATACCAATGGTACTACGATGTGTGACCGGTTGAAGAACGAACCTTATCATTTCGCTGGTGTATTAACGTAAAAATCGAAAAGCACTTTTTATAATTTGTTTAAAATTTACGAAGGGGTCAGGGTGCTATTCTGCGGACTTATAAAGCGACATTGAGAAATAGAACGTTTTCCTTTCGTTTTGGCCACTCATGCACACATTGATACCAATAATGTCATTGATTAGCGTTTTTTTAATCTTTTGTCAGTCAAGATTCTTCTCGATAATGCGTTGACACATTGAACTAGGACGTGATTAGCTAGAGATTGATTTTTGAACATGAGCCAATCGAATGTCGTGCTGTGCCAGAAGAAGTTTTGCAAATACTGGTAAGTTACTAGGAATGCAGGATTGACACTGTTTAACTAATAAGAAACAAGTACATCGGGTATGCATTAACGCCCCGCCGCGAGTTTTCTGGTCGCAGGTATTCCGTCACGATGATACTTTACAGATAGATCCAGGAAAAGTGGCTCAAACGGCCTATTCATGCGAAAAATCCAGTGGCCTACTATATTCATGCATTGCTTACCACCCTATATACTCAGTTTCGTAGCAAGGAGGCTTTGGGGAGTCGCTCGACGAGCATCTCTATGTTTTAAATCTCTTTTACAATAATGAACACTTAATACAGGTATTCTAGACTATAAAACACATTAATCGCTCGAAAAGTGCTAGCTACAGTCTCAAAATGCCAATAATTAATAGAGTAGGAGAAAGAGGAGTCGACATCCGAAATTCTCACGCACCGTGAAACGTATGCCACCATGAGCTGCATTTACCCCCCCCCTTCCTCCGAAAGGTGAGCACAGCTCACTGAGCAGCAAGTGACATTAAAGTTTATCGAAGTAAATAAACTTTAACCGGGCTACACAAATCAGCACACGATAATGTTATCTCAAAATAATTTTCAACTGACCTCTCTTGCGTTGTTCAGACGTGTTTTGAGTACTTAATTAATACCACCAATTCATCGAGTTCGCCAATGAGCTAGCCCCATTATAAAAGCACAGTGAGCGTATCGAATGTACGCAATTCTCAATTTCCGAGAGTTTCCGTTTCGGTGATCGACCTTGCTGATGACGTAAACTAATTGCTTAGAAACTCTTAAAAGTCAAGACTCGATAGGCCGAAAATAGACTTTTCCATCCAATCCGATTACAAGGATAATAGTCAATCAAATTCTTACACTGGGGTGACGTGTACCAAATAAAATGGCTTCGTTTTGGTCTGTCACACAAATCTCGACTTGACAGCTCCGTGATTGAATAAAAACATTTTAACTCCAATTGGCTATTATGCATCGCTATGCTTCAACACACATCCTGCGATCCATGCCGTCGGCAATTCCAGCCCAATTGCATCCTGCAGCAGCATGTACACCGCAGTAGTCCACTCGCTATATTCTTTGGACAGTTTAATGGCTGTGTCTTCAATTTCGCAGTGTCGGCCGTGATGCGACATCACGATTATAATGCAGTGCAGATTTCACCATCACTCTGCGAGTCTTTCTCCATAGAACGGTCACCTTCAAACGTCACATACAAACTCCAAGTCGTTGTCTGTGGTCGGACTGCATTTAACCGCTTGCCGACGAAAAAGGCTCACTATTCAACTTGTCGTCTCCGCCACAGCAGCGTAGTGAGAGTGTGGCATCCTTCTTCTTCTTCTTATAAGAGCTTCACATTCATCCTAATGGCCCCGCAACCAATTCGTCCCGTCAGACCTGTACTAATGGAGCCGCAGTTGTCTGTCGCGCACACGTGTGGCATCACGCTCTCACCCGTCAAGCGTGGCTCGCGTGACATCATCGATACACTCAAGCACCAATGCGACTGTGCGCCACGCTCTGTCTCCATGGGCGAATATGTGGCCAGTCCACGCGTTACGTCGGGACAAGTACAGGGGTTCGCGAAGGAGTCCGACTACCTTCTCTCCGAGCCATCGTACGCCATCGACGTGCACAAGACGACGCCCGCTGACGCCCCGAAGGAGCAACCGCGTGGTACGAGCTCGCTCTGGGGCTCTACTTTCACTCTAACCAACACCATACTAGGCTCGGGAACACTCGCAGTGCCGTTCGCCATCGCGTCGAGCGGATGGTTGCTGGGCAACGCCATCATGTTAGCGATCGCTATGATTACGCGATATTCCGTGCATTTACTGCTGTCTGCAAGCGACCGAGCAGGCAGCAATTGCGCCAAGACCTACGAGAGTCTCGGCCACTTCACTATGGGCGCGTTTGGCACCAGATTGGCAGAGTTTACCTTCATCTTCGGGGGGTTTGGGACTCTCGTAAGCTACTTGATTTTCGTCACGGACTTGTGCGCGGCTGTGCTTTCTGTATCAGCGCAAGACAAGTGGACGATCACAGTCACGTTGGTCGCAACTGTCGTGTTCCCTCTGTCTCTGAGTCGTCGTATTGGCAAACTGTGGCTGGCTTCTGTCCTCGCTATTCTGTCCATCGGCTACGTCGTGGCGTTCGTTCTAGTGGCCTTCCTCGCTGTGTATAATGCGGACACAGCGTCGATTGGACAAGGTGTGCAGGCTGTCCGTATTGATCCGGGAAGTGTGTATACAGTGACGCTATTAATCTCTGCATTTGCATGCCACAACACGGCGTTGCCAGTGTACGAAGAACTGAAAGACCGGACGTTGCCCCGGATGAACCGAGCAGTCATTGGAGCTATCAGCGTCGCGTTTGTACTGTACGAAGTCATTTCGCTCTGTGGATATCTGCAGTTTGGATCGGAGACCAAGGACAATATCTTGCTCAACTTCTCGTCGGATTATGTGGCACAACACAAGTCTGTGAAGGTTCCTCTGCTGATTGGACAGTTGTGTATGGCCCTGGCGTTGGTGCTCACGACTCCAATTGCCATGTGGCCATTCCGTTCGTGTGTCTTGAGTGTGTATCTGCGCGTGAAGAATGGCGTACAGACTCCTAGTCATGAGGCTACGTACAAGGAGTATATTGGAGTCACAGTGCTGAGTCTGACTCTCATCTTGACGTGCAGTATCTTCGTGCCGTCTGTCAAGATCCCTTTGAGTATCGTGGGTTCAGTGTCGGGGTCATTATTGATCTTCGTTATGCCGGCGTTGTTCTTCCTGCTGCAGTCCACAGGCCCCATGATTAGTCGTGAACACGCAGGTCCATTGCTTATGCTCGGTGCAGGTGTGGTGATCGGCGTTGTGGGTCTCTCGTTGACACTGTTCAAGCTGTATCGTGAATATTCTTAAAGATATTAATTATATCTAACGATAAAAATCAATTAACATTTTCATTTATTTTTTTCTCAGGTCTTAAGTACGAAGCTCCATATTCCTCCATTAAAAAGTCAACGATCGGCGACAGTATGGTATTCAACTCCATTAAGCTTGACTTTAGAATATGGCAGAAATTTCTCGACTGGGATACTGTCGTTGGTTCTTTTCGTGTGTTCAATATTCCAGTGTTCCGCCACATGTGGGTCTGGTTCCATTCGATAAAGATCAAGATACGGTCCAGTGCAGGACTCAATTGGAGCTATTAGTGTTGGATCATAAAGTCTCGCAGCTAACGGATGTGTAGGAGCGACACAAACCCTCCAAATCCCATCCATAAAGACGTGATACGCCTTGGCTTGTAGTCTTCTTCTAACGACAGCTATTGGACCGTTCTCTTGTTGATATCCTGATATGCCCTTGGCTCGCAGAGGGGCTTAGAACAGGGTTAATTCAAGACTGGTATTTCTGTTAGTTTGTGTCGTGTCTTGTCTCCGACTGGAACAAGAACCTAGAAAGAAAGAATAGAAAAAATGCAACTTCAACTTAAGCTGCAATGGCGGTCAGCATCCTCAGGCCGACGTCCTTGTCACTCGCCCCCATTATGACTGCTCATTAGCACGGAAACACTCGACGAATGTTCACTCGCTGCTGCGTTGGTCCTTGGTCCAGGGTAATAGTGCCATTGTCGTGCACCGATATCGGCAGTCTCTTGTATTGGAACTTTCCCCATGGTGTACAAAAGGCGGAGTACTTTCGGCTTTCATTCGCTACTTGTCTAGCGTAATAGTCCATATTGGCGTCCAGTGACGAAAAGTACTTTGCTCCACCTAGTTTTGCTAAGTGTTCTCGAATCAGCGGTACATAGTATGGGTGTCTCTTCTAAAACCGATTAAGCGCTTGAAAGTCAGTCAGCAACCGTAGTCTTCCGTCTGACTTCTTTAAGAAGAAGGCAGGCGACGCCATCTCCGAGTCGAAGATTTGCTCAAGCACATCGACTGTAATCAATCTGTGTCTCTCCTTGCGAGCTGCATCTTCCTCACTCCTCGGTACTGAGTATGGTCTCGCATGAACCGGTATGAACGGCTCAACAATTGGTAAGACGTGATCCGGCAGCTTCATCTTGCCCAGCTGTACATTGTACAACATCTCAAAGCTAGCTAACAGCGTCACGACTTTGTCGTACGTCTCTTGGTCGATGTCTGCATCGCCAATCAGGTCCATCGGTTTAACCGACGTATCGTTAATGTCCTTGACCTCGTCAAGTATCTCCACCTCCTTCAATTCTACAGGCAGGTGTCTTTTCGGCTTCTTGTCTGGTATCTCTTGATACGTCCCAGCATTGCCCGTACTCACGACCACGGAGTTTCCGTTCCACTCCACCTTGCCGTCTCTGAAGTTCACGATGATACCCAATGCGCTCAATCAATCGCGACCAATGACCATCTCGTCCTTGGTGTTCTCAATCACCTCAAACAAATGAGTGATTCGTGAGCCATAGTTAAGGTCCAAGAATCTGAACTTCACAACCATAGTACCGTCCGACTTGAGTTTACCGTCAACTTGCTCGAATATCATGGTTGAAGAGGTCTTCTTGACTCCCAGCTGCTTATTAGCAGTCACGAGTGATGCGTTAATATAACTGGTAGTACCTCCAGTGTCCAGTAGAGCTACTCTTTTCTCTTTTGTCTGCGAGAGCCGAATTCCCAGTCGCATTGGTCTACCAACGCTTTTAGATGCTTCATTCATCACGCTGGAGATTATTTTGCCTTCGCTCTCATCACTATAGTTGTAGTCCGACTCCGTGTCGTCCACCTCGTCAGCTTTCGGTTCTCCGACTTCTTTGCCGCTGACTTCTGATTGTAGCTACTCTTGTCGTTCTTCTTCTGCGTAAAACACTCCTGGTCACTATGTGACGCTGTCTTATGCAGTTTGCACCACTTTCCACTTAGTTCTGCGTTGTTGCTCGACGACGCTTTGTTCGTGTGGTTATTATTCCACTTCTTATGGCTACTATTCTTGCCATGGTAGTTGCCGTACTGCTTATTCGGCTTACTCGTCTTCGGCTTTCCTTTGTTCTCTTGTCCTTCGCGTCGCTCTGACTGCTCAAGGCGCTCGAAATACTGCACGGATTGCGGCATACTACTGAATGTGATACCACTGCACTCGTACGCATGTCTCCAATCTCTCGGCATCGCACACTTGAAGTACCTGATCATTGACTTGTCGTCCAAGTTCATGGGGTTTGTTGGCAAGACTCGAAGCATGCGAGCAACCTCTCTCATGCGCTCATTTCGCCGCTTGGCGGACATGAACAAGTCTTCTTCCAACTGCTCATTGTATGCTTTGGGTACGTACGTCCGTCCCCACAACGCGTACGCCTTCGTAAACTGTGCCACACTATTCATATCCTTATCCTCGGAAGCTGTATGCCACGCCTCCAGTGCCTCATTCTTCAGTACCAACTGCAAATTCAGGTCCTTCTCGTCTGGTGCCCACTTTTTGAGCTGACACAGACGTCCAAACTTGTGACTCCACTTAAGCCAATTTTGGGCTGTACCTCCGCTGAAGCGAGGGAGTGAAATCTTTACGTACTCACGCTCCGTGTTGTACGTTGACGCCCGTGTTGTCGCCTGGAATACCACGCCTTGTCTGCGCGGTTCATCTCGTCCATGGTCTTGCTTGGTCTTCACCCGTTGTAGAAGTCCTACAAGTTATCCTCTAGTTCCGTCCTTTTGAACTAGTTCAAAGTGATATGCCCTTGGCTCGCAGAGGGGCTTAGAACAGGGTTAATTCAAGACTGGTATTTCTGTTAGTTTGTGTCGTGTCTTGTCTCCGACTGGGACAAGAACCTAGAAAGAAAATATAGAAAATAAAATGCAACTTCAACTCAAGCTGCATGGCGGTCAGCATCCTCAGGCCGACGCCCTTGTCAATCCTACATCCACGTCTTCCGTGAAGGGTATGATTCCTCCGTCTCTCACTGCTCCTAACAGTGTTCCAAATACAAGTGCGGGCTCACCTCCAGCCTGTTCCAACTCAGTATACACGTCCACTAGCAGCATATGCAGCACGCTCGCGTGGCCGGGCGTCCGCGTCTGCATCAACAAGTCTGTTCTGTCAGCACCTGCGCAGTCTTCCTCGTCAAACCTCGTTTTGATCGGCAGGCAATTTTCCCATACTTGGTAGCTTTTCAGACTGTCGTCGCACAAATATCGTGATGATTCTCGAACCGCGGGGCTTTCATCTTTAAGGCCGCAACCCAGCGGTAGAAAGAGTTCGGCATGTCAATGACTGGTGCTTGTTTGGGAGAACAACTCCAGTCGTCCGACGCTACAGTGAATTGTGGGTCATCCGAGTAATGATGTGACGAGAGGAAGAGATGATCGTAAGATGACAACACCGGGAAGAAGCTTAAAGCCACAGGAGTCGAATGGACAAGAACAGCAGAGTTGACATTTTGCCTTTACATGTACGGTACCAGCAGTATTTTTGCTACACCATCATTCATTTAATTTAATTTATGTATAATGGTGTGATCCACATATTCTAGTTTTGCAGCTTCAACTTTACTGTAAATTGGATTTGTTGCCTACGACCAGGCATTGAACGGAGAGTCTACGAGGATGCGGATGCTACTATAGCGGAGGCTACTACTGTATGATAGTACTGCGCAAATACCGTCAGCTTGAAGCAGTTGCTGGTGCGTGCCCTGCTCCGCGATCTTGCCGCCGCTCACCACGCAGATCTTGGCCGCCTTGCGGATCGTCGACAAGCTCTGCGCGATGATGATCGTCGTACGCCGCTTCAACGCCATCACCAGGTGGTGGTGCTGAGCGGAAAAGATGGTCCGACAAGGTGGTCCGACAAGGTGGTCCACCTGGTCCAGAGCCTCCTACACCACCGTCTCACTCTCCGAGCCCAGCGCACTCGTTCCTTCATCCAGCACCAAGATGTCTGGGTTCTTCAGAATGGCTCTCCCAAGCAGAGCTCCGAAAAACGGAGCTCTGCTTTTTGAAGAATGAAAAATAAAAAAGCATTTTATTGTAAGAAATATTTGCTTCAGCTCTCGACACAGGTACTCTTACTCCTCCAGCTGTAGGTGCCGCAGCACGGCCTGTACGAGTCCGCGCATGAGCTCACCGGGAGCGGCCCTCGCTGGATAAACCACGACCTCCACATGTACTCGTCGATGTGGCCATCCAGGTACTTCTTATTGCAGCCGCGCATCGCCTTGATGTGACGTTTGATATGCATTTCCCACAAACCCTCAATTGTGTTCGTATGCGTACCTGAGACAGGGCCCACAAAGTGGAGAGTGTGGCTCACCCAACTGTGATCGTAGTGCATACTCGCCAACGTGCGGTTGTTGGCGAGCGTATGCACTACTGACCCACGCTAGCCACGTAGGAAGCGAACATGTCCGAGTGAATCCGAGTCCTAGTAAAAACAAACACAATTAGAAATAAAACTTACGAAATATAGGTTTACGGTACTAATCGAGGTCTAATGAACTTCTTGATAATCGGCAGCAGCGTAGACTTCGTACGCTTGTCGTACACGATGCGGCCAAACCATCGTCCTGTCGCCACCCCCCCCCTTCCCCCCCCCCAAAAAAAAAAACAAAACTCTTGGTAGGTGCGACCGCGACCGTACTTTGACTTTTTCTTCAGGTTTGTTTCATCTATCTCAACAATGTGCCCTTCACCGGTAATCTATACAATATAAACATACATAATTAGAGCAAAGACAGTTGTATAGCACAACAGCAAACTTACCTTAAACTCGCCACTCAAAAGCTCTTTGGAGCAGAGGACGCGGCATGCAGCATACCAAGCTGACGCCGTATTCTCGCTGACCCTGGCCATGTGCGCAGCTTGGGGCTGTGGTGCTCGCATGCACCACAAAAAAATATCAGCCGTAACGCCTGGGAAAGATCGAGCTTCATCTTCGAGAACCAAGAGTTCACGAAGATG